TGGCCACGCCCCGCCCGGCCCCGCCCCTCCGCCGCCGCGCGTGCTCCCGGTGCGCATAGGCACAGCGACGCGGAGCACGTATGCACCGGCACCTATAGATGTGGAGTACGCAGGCAGGGTCGCCTGTATACGTGCAGCACGCGCACATACACACCTGTATACGTGCGGCACGTGTGCATAGATACGCACACCTATGTATGTGGAGCACACATGCGTGCACACCTATATACGTGGAGCACACGCACATAAACACCTATATACGTGCAGCACATGCACGCGTACACCTATATACATGGACCACAGATGCATACACACCTATATACATGCAGCACGTGTGCATAGACACCTATATACATGGAGCACATGCACATATACACCTATGTATGTGCAGCACACTCACACACACACCTATATACATGCAGCACGTGCACATGCACACCTACATATGTGGAGCACATACATATGCATACACACCTATATACATGCAGCACATGCACATGTACACCTATATACATGGAGCACATATGCATACACACCTGTATACATGCAGCACACGCACACACACACCTATATATGTGCAGCACACGCACATACACACATATACAGGCAGCACATGCACATGTACACATGTATACATTGAGCACATATACATGCACACCTATATATGTGGAGCACATATGCATGCACACCTGTATACAGGCAGCACACGCACACGTACACCTATATATGTGCAGCACGCGCACATACACACCTATATACAGGCAGCACGTGCACATGTACACCTGTATACATTGAGCACACACACATGCACACCTATATACGTGGAGCACATATGCATACACACCTGTATACATGCAGCACACGCACATGTACACCTATATACATGGAGCACATATGCATGCCCACCTATATACATGCAGCACATGCACATATACACCTATATATGTGCAGCACACGCACATACACACCTATATACATGGAGCACATGCACATATACACCTATATATGTGCAGCACATGCACATACACACCTACATACATGGGACACATATTCATAGACACCTATATACGTGCAGCGCATGTACATACGCACCTCTATACACGCAGCACACGCACAAGCCCACCTCTATTCATGCAGCACATGCACGTATGTATCCGTATACATGCAGCACACCCACCTATATACATGTATAGGTGCGCCCCAGCCCAGAAGCCAGAGGGGGCTGG